GTTGGAGCGGCCTGGAATCCTTTGTCGCCCCTTGGACGAGGATAGCAGTGATGATAGAGGAACAGATCGTGAGACCTGAGAACGTGGACGGTGGGGCGAGCGCGTCCGGGAGGCCTATTAGTGTGGATCGCTAATGGCACTGGACTCCAGGCTCCCTCTTGCCTGATGCATCCCTACGGACTACATCAGACTTCCGTACAAGGACTCCGTACAGCCATCTCCTTGCCGCTGATGTTGTGCCTGTTATCCACTGGGGTCAAACGGCAGATGGAAGGGTGGCCTAGTCCTCTTTTTGAGTGTTGCGTACACAGTCGTAAGTCGTAGGTCAGTTGGCTGACCACTGACTCTCATGTCAAGCAGGGCGAAGTCTGATGCTCGCCACCTCCGGGCTTCTGACGACGCACTAGGCTGGGATTTGAGAATTCATAACCTGGAAGTCAATGGAGCAAGGAGGTGATGATGACACCTGGATCTACCTCCGTGGGACGGAATTGGGTCCCGCTCACACTGTACCTAGCGCATGGTGTGGACGTCCCGACTACCGGATCTGGACGTGATAAAAGGGGCCCGGGCTCACGGCCCCCTTACGAGACAACCGCCTGGTTGATAGTATCGCTTAGAGGTCAATACTTAGGGATACCTAGGTACAAAGGGACCTACCGAGTACTCGTATCTGACCTGGACGGTGTACGATGGCCCATTGGCGCGATCTCCGAAATGAACCACAACTGGCTTCCAGGGAGTCCAGGGAGATCAGGACTGGTAGAGGTGCCGCCGTACTTGGGTATTATGAATGGCTCGACATCTTTTGAGGCTTTGTTCCCGCTTGTGACTGTCGCCTCATGCCGGCACTTCGGTCCACTTCATCCTTCATTTGTCGTTGCACATGGACATTTCGACCAACATTTTGCGTGTGGAAGGACACCGGAACCGGTAGTTAGCCGATCGACACTTCCAAGTCACGGAGTAGGTGAGCAGGTTCAAAGGATGTCACTCGGCACGGCTGTAATTATCTCATCTGCATGCAAGTGGAGGGGGAAAAATAGGAACTGGTAGGCTCGTAGCGAGGTAACGTGGCGCACGCCCTACCAACAAGCCACTGGGGGACATATCGGTGTGTGTAGCGCAGCCTGTTGGGGCTATTATTGCTCGTTGTCTGCCCTTGTGGCCTGAAGCTCACCCTGATCCAAGCACTTTATCAGACAGTGGGTACCAATGTTGTTACTAGGTTCAGCCACTGATGACGCTCCCAGCCAAGGGCGACCCTGCCAAAATTGTGCTTGGGATTCCAGGGCTGCTAAGACCCTACCCAGTATGTGACTTCGTATCGGATTTACTAAGGGCGAGTTAGGACCCGTCGTTGTCCCCAAATTACCGATTGTGTGACGACCCTTATGAAGAATCTAGAGGTGATGCACGTTCTAAACAAGGGACTGTCAAAATTGATCGGCTTCCACCGGTCTTATTGGCTAGACAAGTTGTCTGGTCTGGGAGGAGAGGTCGATTTCACCGACAGCTGTTACTCCGTTTTGGTACGTTGTTTTAATTTGGGAGGAGGGGCCGAACGACTGGGAAAAAAGACGACGACGGGTCGATAGAGACAGGTGTCAGCTGCCTTAGGCGGTCTGCACTTGGTTTGAACTTGGAGGGAGATCCGACGAAACTGAAGTATGTTATTGGTTAGCCGAGGAAGAATCGAGGGAGAATTAGGGTTTTCCAACTTCCTCTGGGTCAAGTAGGGGTAGCACAAGAGGGGAGGTCAATGTCGGGTCGACAGGGTGATGGGGTGAGGTCTGTTGGCTCTGTTTGGCCGACGCACCCACAGGAGGGACTCGATACGCAGGTGAGAAGCGGCTGGCGTGCAAGGGGATTGGGAGAAGGGGTGCGCCCAGAAGCCAGAGGCGCGATGCAGGTGCAGGTCCCGAGAGGAAACATGGCAAATTCTTCGAGATTCTACTTTCTCCGTATGGCATGGACCAATGTGGAGGGATGGGTGGGTGGCCCCGAGGGCGCTACGTAGGTACTTACAAGGAAGTAGGTGGATTGTTACTTAGGTGTCACTAACTGGCAATTCCAAAGGGGAGAAAGTGGGAGAATGGCTAGGACCAGTTAGGCCATTGCTTGTAAATAGGTGGGAAGGTAAGTACTTGTAGGTAGGTCATCGCCCGTAAGTAGGTGGTAGGCCTTGCTAGCCTTTGGAAGCGCCTACTGAAGGGGTTCTACCGTGGCTAGGAGCTTGGGGGGGGGGGAACTCACTTAGCTATACATGGCACTGTATCATTTCATTCAGGATGGCTTCCTCTGGCGCGCCCCTCCCGCCTCTCGTCTCTCCTGCCTTCATCACAGTATGATTCCATATTCTCGTACAATAACCAGCATCCATCAACCCTTGGCCTTCTCCTATCTAGGCGAGCTCATCCCTGCCACTCCAACTACCTCGTTGGAGCAATCCAAATAATACTCGTACAATGTCCCGGAAAGAGGAACAGCTGATCCCGTTAAGAAGTTGGTCATGCAGTTTGCCGTGTGCTGGTGATGCACGCCTGTGAAACCCCCCGTCACAAGGTCAAGCCTGGCTAGGCCTGGAGCTGGGGCTGGAGGCTCGGGCTGGGGGCTGCATCATGCACCCAGACACGCACCGTCAACTTCGTTATTGCGCGTTGGTCGCTCATTCCATCCTTCGCCCAAGCCCCCCTCCCCCCAAAAAGCCCTAAGCCGGGCAGCTGTGACCAGCCAGTGGTACCGGTGGGCAGCCTCGAGTCAGACGGCAGACGGCTTCGATGGCTGCCAAACCGCCCATCGTTTCCCAGTTCGGCCTTGTGTCCGCCCAGGCCCCTTTGGATGGCTAATGCCCTACCTCCCAAGTATGCCCTATGCCCCGATGCCCTTATGCTCCTGCGTCTGCCGAACCACGTTGGGGAACCGTCCCGGGGTTTGCACGGCCGCCACCCGCCAAGCCTATCTGCCCCGTCAACTACCTCACACGTAAGTACGAGGTACTCGGTACCTTCCTCCCGGTTGCTTGCTTGGTTAGAACCTTGACCCTTGACCCTTGTCAACCCCGAAGCTCCTCAGTACAGTACTGGGCAAGTTTGCGCTCGTGCGAAGAAATCAATGATCCCTGTCCTTCTCGCAGTTCCATTGCAGCTCCATTGCAAAAAGCCCCAAGCGCGCATTCCCGGTCTCCACTCCACATGGCAGCCCCTCGGGTTTTTTGGACCTCTGGGGGCCCTCGCAAGGCCCGTGTTTTCTCTTGTCTCATTTCTCACTCACCCTGCCATGTCGGCACCATGCTCTCTGATCTCCCATCCCATTTTTGTGAATGTGCCCATCGTCCCACATTCCATCCAACCCTGCATGCCTGCTTCTGACTCATGGGGATTTTTCTCGATTTGCTTCCATCCCTGCCCACTCCCAACTTCCACTAATTTCAGAAACCCTTCCCGACCCGATGGATGGCGGCTAACCTTGACCAGCAGGGCTATCGGCCAAAGCTCCTCATTCTCCCTTGACCTCCCTCGTACCTCCTTCGCACCTCCCTCGCGATCATCCCTCTCAAACCTAACCTAGTCCATTTTACGAGGTTGAACGTGCGGCACCGCAAGAGCTGGGCTTTACGAGATATCCGGAACATGACTTGTACGTCCTGGCTGCGCTAAAAAAAACACGATTTGGAGGGTTTTGAGGATTTTCACGCCAGCTTTGGGAAATCATCTCTGACCACTCAACCTCCACCTCTCTCGCCTCTCAGGAACCACATCGACGCCAAAACCTTGCATCCCTGCTGTGTCTTCGACCCTCCTTTGACCCTGTTTGACTTTTTTTCTTTCAACACAACGGTCGAGAAATGCAACCGCGTCATCCCGTGTCTGCCGCGTTTCCTTTCCAACCTCATCGTCTCCTCACGCCATTGGCTGTGCAAGATGCATCAGACGTTTTCTTCCTGGCCACCTCCGCTCTTTTTCCCCTCTGTGGCTCCCGTGTCTGACCCAGGTTCACGCTGAGCCACCCTCAAACCCCATCTCCAGGATGATTCTGGCACTCGCATGATCCAGTTGCCCGCTGCCGGATAACTTGGAGCTAAAAAGAATAGCCTCCTTTTGATACTTTTCCACCTTGACCTCACTTCTGACCTCCACGCATGGTCCTCTGGCTCTCGCTCTCTTCACACAACTCTGACAGCCTTGGTTCCAGGCTGCCACGAATTCCTTCAGCGCATCTGTCAAATCTGTCACTCGGTCAATGCCATCCAATCCATCCGCCGACTTGTTGCGATCCACACTCCTCGCCCCTCGCACTCTGACCGTTCTCCCGGTCGACAGGCTCCCCTTGCCGCTCTGCATTCTCTTCCCCTTGTGGGCTGTTTTCTTTCTAGATCACCCTCGGCCATGACATTAACGCAAATCCCTAGAAGTATGCGCACCAGTGCGCTGCTTTTGGGCTTAGCCAGTCTTTTCCCGCCTTCCACCATTCCATTCCCTTTTGCCCCGGTTTCCACATCCTACGCTACCGCCGCCGCCCGTTTTTCTTGACGCATCTCGCCTGATCGCTTCCCCTTGGTCCTAAACCTGGCAAACTCACTGTGACCCGCCAATAAAACCCATCCCCTGCTGGTACCTGTCTTGGAGTCATGTTCGTCATGCTTTGGCTTTGCGCTTTTATCCTCGCCAAACCCTGGCTCTGGGTCAAGCTATTCCACCCTCGCCGGGCCCTGGCCCACATACACCTGTATTGACTAACTCTGGCTACTGCTTGCAGCAGTAACAGCACCAGCACCAGCACCAACACTGGCTCCAGCAGTAGCACCAGTTTCTCCCCCGCCGCAACCGATGTGCCAATTTAATCTCGCCTTGTCTCCCTTGGGACCATATCCACTATCAACTTGGCCCTTGCCACAAACTCCGTTTGTCCCCTCGATCGGGAAGTAGATATGGGCTGTCGAGACCACACAATTCTCTGGATGCTCTGAATTCTCTCTGTCCGCCAATACCACCCTGATCATGGATGCCTATCAGCAATACAACTGCTCTCTTCCGGAAGCGACCTACAATCCTGCTCTCTCCGCCACGGTGTCGTCTTATTTTGTCCGACCCAACAAAGTCGTCAAACCGAGCAGCCGGAACAGCAGCCCACGGACTTTGGGAAGAAGGAAAACGATGACTGCTGCCTCTACCTCGACCAGAACCCGCTCTGTCGTCGACCATCTCCGCTCCGGCACGCAATGGCAGAATTCAGAGACGACTCGCTCTCGACCCGTCAGTTGGCATCCGAACTCTCTCGAGGCCCTTTTCACTTTCAACTCTGTTCCCAACGAGCAAGACCTGTCTACATGGAATATCTCGACGGCTCAGGTCAACGGCCTTGTCACGCCTATCTCTCATCCGTCCATGAGCGAGCCTCAATTTTCAGAGCCTTTCACGCCGCTCGATGAGCTGCCCGTCCAAGATCCGAGCTTGTTATTCGAAGGTCAACCTTACCTCGGCCAAATGTGGCTGAGCCAAAGCCAAGTCAAGCCCGAACCAAACTCCCTTCCGCTCTATTCTCAACAACCATTTTCACAGCCGCTTTGGGGTTTGAATCAGGCTGTGATGGCACCCAACGTAACAACAGCACCGCCCTCCCCAGACTGTCGTCCACTGCAGAACCTTGGGCTTGACACCTTGTCTCTTGACACCAGCCATTCGACCTCGAAGGTTGACTCGGAGGAACTGATCGGCATGGGTTTGTATGATTCGCCTGCCGAAGTCCAATCATCGTGTCTGCTCTTCAGTGGGTCTGCGGGCTCGGGGAGAAAGGGATTGAAGCTAGAGGAATCATTTGAACCGGTCGAACAGGAAGAAGAAGAAGAAGAGGAAGAGGAAGAGGAAGAGGAAGAAAATGACATTGAGGACGCCGAAGAGGACGAAACCGGCCAACCAGGGGTTCAGCAGGAGGACGAGGAGGATGATGATTCAGTGTGGGGTTATTCTGGCACCGCCGAGTATGAAAGTCGGTCCATCGCGGACCATCTGACCTTTGGCATGCAAGCACAGCCTGACTCTCTGGCAATCAAATATCTTTCGACGCTAAGGCAGCTGAACAGCGCCTATTACCCGTCCGGGCATTCTTACGGTTGGGCGTGACATTCACGACTTGATGAAATTTACGACGAGCCATTTGGCAACAGGTGGACTTTGGTGGCAAATTTGCAGCGTTCACAAAATGTTCTTATAGCCATGATACCCCCCCCCCCCATGTGGCGACCTAGAAGAGGATTACCGGGCCCTATGTACGAGCTAGATTACTAGAAACCTTGAAGATATCATGTATTACTTGAGACATTACCATCTACGGAAAGCCTGTGCCATGTGGACCGCGAGAAGGCATGCTCAGGGCGTTGTTCTAGCCTTGACCCTCGACAACCAAGTTCAGTTTGGATATCATGCAGGTGGTTGTCGAGGAATGCGCTTGATTGCCAGCCAATGAGTGCAAGGCACATATCCGCGTCCCACACTGACCCACTGCTACTCACTCATTGGCTGGGGGCGAGTAAGTCACGTGCGAATTCCAACACCACATCAACTCATCTCAGGTCGCCCGTTTTCCCTCACCCACCACTTGACGGACTCTTCCCCGGGAGGATCAACCAGAGACCGTTGAGCAAAAGGCCGCATGAAGCCCGTGTCCTGCTCTTGACCGTTTCAGTATGCGCCCTCCCTGTCGCTTCGATATCACCGCTGTCTCTCCACATACTGAATGACCACGCCCTGATCCGTTCAAACCTTTTCCCTTCTCCAGTGCCGGCCGTGATCCGAGGACCGGATCTCTCACCGCGAAATTTTCACCAGCCCTCCGCATCTGCTGCGGTCCCAACGCTCAGCACCATGATTTTGCAATTTCCACCATGGCGACACGACTCTGAATTAGCTATGGTCCGAGACTGGTTCTTCCCCCGCCATGCGAAACAGGAAGTGTTTTCCTCCATCATCGCATCTGACTCTTCGCGAGACACAAGGCAGCGTGCGATTGACCGGGTCAATCTCTGGCTGTTCAAAGCCGGTCAACTGCCCCCGGCGATGGTAGCCACCGCAAGCTTGACCGAGGCTTTAATTCACGATGAACGCAGGAGGTCATCATCAGGGACGGTCATCTCTGATTCGGCCATGCAGAGCATCTATGCCATGGCATTTGCGAGGTTTGTCAATGGATTCGTTGACCGTGATGTCGCTCGTTCATATGCCGCCGAGATGACTCGGGACGATACTCCCGAGGGAGAAGACGTGACTCGATTCTCAGCAAGCGCCGCCAAGGGTGAAACCTCCATGTACACTCACGCCGCCACGATTGGGATGCCGCAGACATTTGTTGATCTCCGCCACCAAGTCACCCATGCTGACATTCCCAATCTGATGTATCTGAGAAAAATGACGGAGCAGGCTTTGGACTGGATGTGGGAGAAGTGGTGGGTCAAGAATGTGACTGGCCGACCAGAACGTGCATTGAGGGAGCTAGAAGACCGGCGGCGGGTTTCACGAGAAGCTAGAGATGCCAGAGAATCAACCAAGAAAGACTCTCGTGACACGATGTTCCACGACGACCCCGATAGCGACGGTCAGGGAGTGTCAACGGAGGCGACATTGGTTGCGAGCACCGGACAGAATGAACCTAAGGTCTCCTCGACAGCCAGAAGTAGATATGTGCCAAAACGCAAGGCTGCAGCTTTAGATGACGATAATTAGACGAGATGCCCGCCGCCTGTGATGCTCATTTCCGAAATCCTCGCAATTGAGACGTGTTTGGCCCTTATTTCTGGTACATAGTAGATGGGATGGATGAAAAACCTCATTCCAAATTGCCAAGCCTTTTCGAGATGCGGCGGTACGAAGTGATTTACAAGATGCATGTACTCGGGACTCGTCATCCAAAACGCAGCCTTGTTACGATCACGCCCGCCGTTCACCTCCTCTTCGAATATTTGGCAAAGAGTGAACGGCTTTCCACTGTCACCGATGGGAAAGCATCTACCCAACTTGTGGCTCCTCTGCATCTTCCTGTCCTTTCCCTTCTCGCGTCCTCCAGTTCGACATGAACAACCTCCCGGTTAGGGCAAACGAGAGCCCGTTCTACGACGTCCCCTCTGACAATCAGAGCACCTCATACCCAACCCAGACCAAGATCATCTCTACCCTTGCTTTACTGCTCCTGGGATATTATGCCCTGTCCTTCTTCGACGCCTGGCCCTCGACCATCAAAAGAGCCATCTACGAATTCGTCGTGTACATAACCCCTTCTCCTGTGATCTACGCCATGCAGTACAGCCTGGTTCGCCTGGGCCATCTGAGCCCGGAGGAAGCAAAATTCAAGAGAGTCAACTTCGGAGACATGATTGCAAAACAGGAGGCCTTCAGGATGATCCTGGGACAACCGCAGTTGCCCCTTGCACTTCGAAAGGTCAGGAGTTTGTCCGGATCATACATGTCTTTGAGCCACGAGACTGGCCCTCCTGGTTTGGGCAACTGGGACAACTCCTGCTATCAAAACAGTGTGCTACAGGGATTGGCTTCCTTACCGGCTTTCATCGAGTATTTGGAGAAGAGCCTGGAATTTTGTGACCGATACGATATTCCTGCAGCCACCCATCGAGCCCTGGTGACCTTTCTGGAGCAGTTATCAGATTCGGGCTCGCGGACCACCGTTCTCTGGACTCCGAGGGTCCTCAAATCTATGGACAGCTGGCAACAGCAGGATGCTCAGGAGTATTTCTCGCGTGTTCTCGACGCGGTCGAAAAGGAGGCCAATCAATACGCCAACAAGTTGAAACGCGCTACAATAGCCGGTCTAGAATGTCTCTGGACAGTTGGAAAAACGGATGCCATCATAGATGCGTCTGTGGAAGAGCAGGGCTCGGGAGGGTCATGGACTAGGAGGATTGGCGGTCTCCCAGCAGCAGGTTTGAGGGAATGCGGAATGCGGAATCCTGTTGACGGCATGACTGCACAGAGCCTTGAATGCAGGACTTGTGGCTTCACTGAGGGTCTGTCCCTGACGCAATTCAACTGCCTCACCCTGAACCTGGGATTGCAGGGCGCTTGCGATGTTGAGAAATTGCTCAATGAATATACAGCACCAGAAGAAGTTGAAGGAGTTGAATGTGAGAATTGCACAAAGCTGGTCCATGGCGAGACGGAATCGTCAGAAGACGAGGAGAAGAGATCCGAGCGATCACTTGCCAAGCCAAAGAAGAAGAGAAGGCCAATCTTACGGACCAAAGCGAAGCAGATCACCGTCGGACGCTTACCTAGAGACCTGGTTCTTCACATCAACCGAAGCATTTTCGATAACTACGGAAACCAGCTGAAGAATACTGCTCAGGTCCGAGTCCCTGCGAGATTGGATTTCTTACGCCGATGGTGTGCCCCCCTTGACCAGAACGATGAGTCGGTCGAAGCTGTGTACGAGCTGAAGTGCGTTGTGACGCATTATGGCAGTCATCACGATGGTCACTATATTGCCTTGGGAAAACGAGATAAAGATTGGTATTCCTTCAACGACGAGCGGGTTACCAGGATTTCAGAAGAGGAAATACTCGCTCGGGGCAATGGGTTCATGCTATTCTACGAGGCTATTAGCTCGCCACCACCTTCTCGACCAGAAGTGGAAGTAGCAATGGAGAAGGCCTCCGTCACCACGAGCCTTGAGGGAGAACCCTGTCAGATGCATGATGACCCTGACCAAGCGCAGATTGTCGAACTAGAGCAGCCGTCAAGTAGACTGTTTGACAATGACGAAATGGCAGAGTCAGAATCCGACGTGACTCCCTCTAGTGGGATGTCTCAGGCTTCGGACTCTGCCTCTTCGAAGAGCAGCTCGCCCGTCAAGGCGCCCACGGGAGAATCGGAGACGCAGGACCGGGCGATGATATTCCCTGTCACGAACCTGAAGACCGAGCGCGACGTATCCAGTCATGTCGTGCAAGACCCGTCTGCCGGAGGGACGCCTGCAGTGTCGGTCTCATGAACAAAGCCGAGCGCAGCTGAGCAAGGCAGCTGAAGCACCTTGCAAGTTTCTGCCAAAAAAAGAGTTATGACTTTACGAACAGGACTTAAATTATGATACCCAATGCATGAATGAACGAATGAGTCGGGCCGCGCACGGATTTGCATATACTATGGGAGGTGCTGGCATATATCTATCTAGGGTAGTGATATAGTTACCTATGTAGTAGTATTATTCTAGACTACCCTTTCCCTTCGTAGTATCGCCCCGATTCAGTCCTCTCTAGTCCGGTCCAGTCTGGTCCAGACCGCGGAAGGCCCTGGTAGAAACTAATCTTACCTCTGTACCTCTTCTGTCTTACAGGTATCTATCTATCTACAGGAGAGATCGCTCTTGGGAAGTAGCCAGCCAGCCGGTCAGCCATGTAGTGTTGCTTGGATGGGGAGAAGAGGCAAGGGGGAATGCTACAGTACTGTACTGGGTAGATAAGATCATTCGCCAGGTACATATATAGGAAACCTAGTTGCCTTGCCAGAAGTATATTAATACTGTGTGTGTTTTGACATGCCTAAGCTTCTGATATATCTTCTAGAACAGGTTGTATGGAGGTGGAGCTGGGGCTGGGCTTGTAGCTAGGTCTATCTACAAGTACAGTATGCGGAGTAGCCGTGCTTGGATTTCCAACCTCTACATAGCCCACAGGAGTGCTCTGAGCTACGTAGATCTTCTCAAGCTCCCTCCTCCTCTGGAGACGTGGCTTCTCAGACCCGACCTGGACCGACGGACCAGTTCTCCGCCGTGAACACCAGGTCGCCCTTTCGTCTCATGGCCTCGGGGTCGATGTAGATGCGGACGCCGGGAACGTCCCTGCCGACATGGAAGACGCGGAAGATGACGTAAATCGCCTCCGCCGCCGCAGCAGGAGGCGAAGGAGAGTCCTCGCGTCCCGTCGTCGAGAGATTCTGCATGCGCTGATACTGGAACTTGCTCATGAAGAATGGGCGGCCGCACGGCCCTACCGTCGACTTGACTTCGATGTAGTACATGGGCCGCCTTCCTGCCCAGCCGTCACGGGCGAGATAGCCCTGGTCGATCAGCAGGGCGGTGAGCGCGCCCGAGGCGTCGTCGTACGTGATGTCTGCGGTCTCGCGGCCCAGCCAGTCGTCCATGCGCCCGTACCGCGGATGCACTCGGACGTATTTCCGGATCGTACTCTGCCAGTTCTCATGACTAAATCCTGGAAGGGCAGGGTCGAGGTTGGACAGGAGCTCGAAGACCTTTGACGAACGAAGTGAGTGGACATGTCAGTTTCTGTTTCGCCCGGGGATATAGGCAAGTTGGGGAAGGAGGGGGGGAAGGGGAGGGACTCACGAAAAGCTCACCGGCCGCGCCGACCTTGTTATCGCGCTCTCGCTGCGTCGCCGATCTGAACCGGCAGGCGTCAAGAGGGTACTCATCCGCTAAGACATCCGAGTCGAGGGGCAGGCTGTCGAGCAATTGTGACATGTCGAACGATCCGATACTGGGGAACAGCGTGGTCCTGGCTTTGGTGATTACGTTGTCCAGAAGAGCCACGTATCCTGCATCCTCGTCCAACGCAAGCATGTCCACCATGTCAGGCGTCGCATCGCGGCGAGCCGTCCTCTCATCGCCAATTCTTCGCGGAGACGGCGACAATGTTGAGGAGCCTGCAGCAGCTGGTCGGTGCCGTGAATGATTATAAACGACTCCAGAGATGGCCCGAGAGTGGGACGATTGAGCGGATATTGTCGTTGCGACAAATGTAGAAGTCGAAGATATCAATGTATTGCTGCCCTCATTGGACGTAGTGGGCGTGAATCGTATTCCTCGGTCGTGGGAGGCTTCGACTGTTTGGGACTGCTCTTCAGCCTCCTCGCCTTCATCTTCGCGATCGGACGGCCAGGCTTGTTCTTCATCTTCATCTTGCTCGGATTCTTCGGCCCCACTCTCATGATCCGCTGGATCGGGGTCTGCAGCAACAACTTGGTCGTCAATAATAGCCGTGCCAGGAATTTCCATAATTCCAGCTTCCTCCAGTATCCAATTAACAGATGACAGTTTGGCATTCAAAATTTTCGTGACAACCAGGACACCTTCTGGCTCAATGTTTTCTCGGATTTGCGTGTCGAAGTGAGTCATCATCCATTCGAAAAGCCGCGGCGGCAGCTTGGAAAGGTAGCAAAAGTCCTGGCTTCTTGGGTTTCTGGGGACATATATTCGAAGTCCCGACTCGTCCTCACGAATGTGAAGTTCGCTCCTTTCGAGTTCGACCGGTAGTTCTTGTCCACCCTGGGGTAAAACTAGCAAGGAAGAGATCCCATCTGTCTCATAGACTCGAGCATTCCGAAAGAGGTCTTGGAGAGAACGGTCGTTCTCCGATACACGGGGGCTGTTGTAGTGGGCGGCTATCCTGTGTCCATAGTCAAAAGTGTGGCTCTCATGGCTCTTCCTCTTCCGCAACTCACCGGAAAAGCCCTCCAGCTTTCCAGCAAATATCTCGATCTCGGTCGGTTATGAGGTCAGGCTCACCGCCGTCGACTCGGGAAATCTCCTTGACCATGTTGGAGAGATATCGGTTCTCCAGACCGGACCAGGCAAAGAATGGTTTCAGCTGCCTAACCTCGTCCAAGCTGAAGTCAAGGAGGGTTGCTTTGCGAGCGAACAATTCTCCAAGACGTTGACGGTCCACGATTCCAAAGTCGGTCGTAGATGTCCGCAAGGCGACTTTTCCGTTAGAATACCTGACCGGAAAGACTCGACTGTTCAGGATTCTCCTCGATGAGGCGACTGAAGTGTTGGAGGACAGGAGCAATGCCAATGTCCGCAACGTGTCCTTGACTTCTTTTACAGATGCTTGCCTGGCGCCTTTCTCAATTAGTTCGTCTAGCACCATATCAAGGCTTAATTCCGAAACCCCAAGCACGGTTACGAAGAAATCTTTCAAGTCTTCATAATGATCGTTGAGAGTCGTCCGGCCTCTTATCGTTGTTGTGCTCGCCCACAAACACTCAGAGATCTTACACCATTTGTGACGTCCACTCACATTCACGTAGATCAAGGCATCGTCCTCGATGGATTCCCTGGGATGTTGTTAGCGCGACTTTAGGGCTTTAGTCCTGCAACAGGAGTGAGCTAATCTGACCTGAGCTTTTGGACATCATCGACATTGGTTTTGCCGACCAACTCATTGATCAGGTTGTATAAGCTGTTGACTTGATCGAAATCCGTGCAACCAGAGGTCTTGAGATGTTTGAGCTCGTCCACAAGATGCGTCCAGGAGCAATCCGGGAGTTCCAATGTGGTTCTGAAGAACTGCTCAAGCGAACTATCCCCGGGTCCAGACGCTGTCAAGAATGCTTGGCATAGAGTCTTCACCGGATATTTGGTCTGCATATCCTGAGGGCCATCCCACAGGCACTGGCTAGGTCGGGCCCATACAGCACGTTGGCCACGGCCCTCTGGGATCAAAATGGCAGACTTCTCTTCGAATAATTCCCTGAAAGCCATTAGCACCTGCGAGCTAAAAGATGGGATATAAATCCCTCTCAGGACTTTCACACACCTGATCTCACTTTTCGTGATCTGGCCACCCTGAAGGCCGGCCTGAATGCGGCTATAGACGCCATAGAGTCTCGGGCTGTTCGTGACAGTTTCGGCAGATTTATTTGCATCTACAATGGAGTCTAGAATTGACACAAAAAAGTGCAACTCGTCATCTCGGTCGACCCCGAAATGTGTGCACAGAAATTCCCATGTATTGGACTCAGCGTCATCACTCGGCGGAAGCGGCAGCTCCAAAAATGGGAAATACTCGGAATCAGCCATGTAGCGTGCTTGCAAACGTTCGAGGGAGGGGGTGGGTAAGTATGTCAACTCAAGCGGCATCTTACGGCCTCCTCTGCAAAGGACTTCCATGCAGCGCATTTCTTCGACAGCTGATCTTGTGGATGCGATCTTTCGACCTTCAGTCAACCACAAACGGCGAACTGCCGGCAAGAAGACTTCTGGACGGTGTTGTTGGAGATAGTAGGTGATGTCGGTCAAGGATGCTGATTCGTTACCTGGATCGCGGATTAGCTTTGGATGCAGCTGAATGTTGAGGTACTTGTTGAGGAAGCCGTTCCAGGTCAAGGGATGTCCTGGTGGACTTTCTGGGATGTCTTCTTGATAAATTCGGTGCAAGATTGGAACAGAAAGCCCTGGCGCGCCATCACCCGGCTTTGGGCCAGGTGGCGTAGCTTTCAGCAGTTTCTTTACGCCGTAGTCGCTGTTGTCGGCTTTGTATACATCTACCTTCCCCGGGAAAAGAGCCTCTTCTCCCTCTGAGTAAACATATATACGGCTGAAAGCGAGCGGCACAACGACACTCTCATGCTTCTGGGTCAGATACAGGTACTCCAGATGTTTTCGAGAGGTCTGGAGGTTGACATTGGGCGCGCTTGCAGAGGAACGATAGCGTTCAAATATTGCGTTTCGAACATGATCGGTTGATGCCTCTGTTGCACCAAGATAATCAAATAGGATCTTTCTGGCAGAGTTTGCCGCCGCGTCTGGATCGATTAAGTTTAGTCCCAGGTCTCTCGGAATTCGGACGCCAGCGCTGCTTGCATAGTAAGTCGGACCCTGATTGGCAGATATCCATTGACCGCTCTGCAACGGTATAAGACGCATTGCTTTCACCTCCACCTTCAAGCCGTCCCACCCTTCGGAGAAGGGATACGCAAGCAACTTTGCGGCACGGGAATGCCAATCCTCATCTTTTGAGGTCTTCATCCTTGAACGTGGCAATTTAAGGTCTGCCTCAGCTCGATCCACAAGGTCTTCCATGTAAACCACTTCAAGTCCATAAGAACGCAAAATCTCAAGGTCATTGAAACTGTATGCGGGAGATAGGTAACAAAATGGGACAATATCGTCCCACAGCGGGTTGCCGTCCTCATCTTTCCCCTCGGGTTCCAGAATCCCGAGCGACTTGATGAGTCCCAAAGGCCCCTCGTTGCGAGAACGTAGCACTGGCGTAGATTCTAGAAGGGTTTGGATTTTGTGAACAAGTCGCTTCCAGAAAGGTTGAAAATTAGCATTTAAAGGATCTGGGAGGTATCTCATCCACTGATACGTTAGAGTAGGATGATCGCAAAACTCCCGAACTGCTTTGACGAATGCATGTGCGATGCCATCGAGAAGCCCTAGATTCCGAGGCGACGCTGTAATAACGTCTTGTCGATTCGCTTCGGTGACGAAGTCAGCTTGGATGAGAAACTAGCTTTTATTAGTCCAAGTTCACGTCGAAATTGGGAAACAGAGCATACGAAAAACCCAGCCGTGCGAAGTGGCAGAAACGCAAAAGCATCTTGGGCCTCCACCAGAGGGGTTGAATCAGGAGCCAACGGGAAGGCAAGGACAATCTCCGACTCGGAGTATTTCTTCTGCACTTCTTCTTCTGTTGAATATTCTCTGTTGGTATTTTTCTCAAGGCCAGTACAAATATACCTCGTAACATGGTAGGTTCTTGAGATTTGCTCGGACCGGTCAGCGGTGATGGTTTTCATTGTGATTGTTGCTTTGGAACCACGAGCGGAATTCTCGAGGAAATGAACAACTTCTTCGGTCACGTTCTGGTCGTCATCATAGAACTTGAGATTAATCTTCCGGATGTTCTTTAGAAAGAGAAGAAAAGTGTCCTGGAGCTCGTGGAACTGGGCGGATATCATTTCCCGCTGACTTGCAAGAAAAGCGGCATCGCCAGAATCGTGCAGGAACAAGGTGACTCTTGTAAGTGCATCTGGGAGAGTCTGTTCGGGTTCATTCCAGGTGGGCGAAATCATACCCATTCCACTGTCACCCTTTCGATGTTCAAAATAAAAGGAAAAGTCTCCAGAGTGGATGAGAACTTTCCATGCGACCATGAAGACCGATTTGAACCCTATCCCTTTCTCTCCAATGTAACCTTGAGCACCTGTTTTAGTGCTCTTGCCTACGCTGCAGATGGCCTTGAGGTTTTCGAGTGTGAAACCATCTTCGTTGCATTCAACCACGATCTTCCGGGGATAGACGTGGAAAGATATGAAAGGCATGTCATGGGTCTTGGTGTATTTGTTATCATCCGCGTTCTGGAGCAATTCGAACACAAAACGAGCATTGCTCGTGTAGAGGTTTTTGGCCAGCCTGATCAACAATGTCAGCGATGGTTTGCTAAAGAGCGTGAGTTCCAGTACGTGACAATAGTTGAACCAATCAAGCTATCTTTTGCCTTCAGCGCATTGCTCACTTCTGCGCGAACAGCCAGGTCGGGAATCCGGCTGAGGGTCTCTCCGGTAAGATACCCATAGTGCTTCTTAATTCCCTCTACTAGGTTTCGAGCCTCCTTTCTGGCTGAAGTCTCATCACCACACATGGCGACGGAAGAGTCCCAAACAAAGGCCCTTTGTTTCTATCGGCTGGTCAAGCCAAAGATGTTTTGCATCGATAAAGTAGGTGAAGGTCAAATGCATAAACTAATCGAACATGCTGCATGCCTTGGTTTATAATGAGCGGCGGAGGTCTGAGTATTGAGTGGCTTTGCTAAAGGTTGGCACTGGGTGGGCCATGGTGGACTGTGTGTTGCCCCTGCAGTGGCGCCTGTCTCATCTCTCATTGTGGCTGATGACCCCTAAACTACCCGGTACAGCATCGCGGCATTCACCAAGGCATAGGGTTGCATGGTTCGAAATTGCCATGTCTAGAGAGGTCATGAAAGTGGCAGTCGAATTGCGGCCACTGCAACGCCCGTTATCTACCTCATACTCAGTACGGAGTGCCCACATCCACTAGGTTTGACGCAGATCCCTGCCACTCCAGAGCTGTCGGACCCTTTGACACTCATCAGGTGTCATTGAGGACCAGGCATCAGCGGCCTGGGACAGTAGGCAAGACACGGTGAGGTAGATAATGTGCAAAGCGTGCAGAGAAAACATCATGAACTACAGTCTTGGAGTGACATTTGACAAGTTGGGGAGTGGATGAGAAGAAGGCTCTCACAGTGTTAAATTACCAGAATAGGCTGCGAAGGAGGTTCTGGTAGGTGTTTGCCGAAAAGGGGCTGATTAGTCATCGCACCGTCCAATCTGCATTACATAAGCCTGCTTGGCGGCGAGGGGGCGAGGGGGACAGGGCGAGGGGGACAGGGCTCGGGCTGTCTGCGCTGTTGTATACTTGTTAGTCCTTATGTGTCGTCATTATTGGACAAGGCATCTGGTGGCAGTGGCACCTTTCCTTGTCTCAAATCTGGCTAAACTTTCAACACGGGTCGCCAACCGTTACTGGCCTTCGACTGTACCAGCAATGAAGTCCTAGAGAATATCCTCACCTCGACCATTCCTTTGCATTCCTCTCCTCATCTCCGTTATGTCGGCCTCAAGGGATGCCCCTCAAGTGAGCAGAAGGATAAGCGAGTGCCTGCCCGATGATGTGGGTATAGCCGCACAAGATGAGTCGTTATGATGCTGACAGCGACTCTCCCAAAGCTCCACGATGGTTCTAGCAGCGAGGATGACTACAACAGAAAGATAGAAGTGAGTTTGAGAGTACCTCGAGCGTGACCCGCTCCGCCTAACTCGTCCTTGCTCCCCAGGTTGTCTTCGACAATGAAGTTGCCCGCCGACGCAAATCCTCCACCGTGCTTGCGGAAACTCCTACAGTCGAGAAGCCTAAGAGAATCCAGGCCGAACGCACGAAATCGCAGTGCCTGGTCCACAAACTGGTCGAGAAAAGCTCATTGGGTCAACAACCCAAAGTCGAGTCAAAGCTGGAACAGATCGACGAAATAGAGCCGGGTTCGAGGTCAGATGTCAATGGGCAGAATCTGAGTAAAGAGGAGATCCGCGCGACAGAATCCCGCCTGCTCACGAAAAAACAATTGAGTGACATGGCCGTGAGTGTGAGGACCATGGCCAAGAGGTTGGGTAATCTCAAGGTGAAACTCAGGGTGCGGGCCATCTTCCTGCTCACCAAAATATACGACAAGACATTGATTACCAAAACACGAGAGGTGACAAGATGGTTGCTTTCCAAGGACAGACCCGTACCTTATATTGTATACGTGGAGGACAATTTGAAGGACAGCCCGTTGTTCGATGCCGAGGGTCTCTTTGCTGAGGATCCTTCCTTTCGAGAGCGGCTGAGGTATTGGGATGCCGACCTGGCCCGGAGGCACCCCCACACCTTCGACTTCGTTGTGACATTGGGCGGTGATGGGACAGTGCTTTATGCGAGCTGGCTGTTCCAGAGAGTAGTGCCACCTGTGCTATCATTTGCGCTCGGTTCATTGGGATTTCTTACAAAGTTTGATTTCGACAATTACCAGCACATACTCTCGCAGGCTCTTAAAGATGGCGTGACGATTAGTTTGAGATTGCGGTTCGAGGGCACTGTTATGCGCTCCAACAAGCGAGCCGACGATGCCGAATGCCGGGACATTGTGGAAGAGCTGATTGGAGAGGAAGCTGATGATCGAAATACTCATAGACCGGACCGGACATTTGAGATTCTCAACGATATCGTCGTCGATAGGGGCCCCAATCCGACAATGTCGACCATTGAGCTTTTCGGAGACGAAGAACACCTTACAACAGTTCAAGCAGATGGAATTTGCGTTGCAACCCCCACTGGATCTACTGCCTACAACCTTGCTGCTGGAGGATCGCTATGTCACCCAGAGAATCCCGTTATTCTGGTCACAGCAATCTGTGCACATACTCTGTCATTCCGACCGATAATACTTCCTGATACTATGGTTCTTCGACTGGGAGTGCCCTTTGATGCAAGATCGAATTCGTGGGCAAGTTTTGACGGGCGGGAAAGGTAAGGATTTACACCTTGTCCCTGTAAGATGGACATTTTGCTGATTCCGTTCCAGAATTGAACTATTTCCGGGCGACTATGTGACCATCTCGGCCTCTAGGTATCCGTTTGCTAACGTCATGCCACCTGGACGCCGAAGCGAGGATTGGGTCAACAGCATTTCAAGGACTCTACAGTGGAATTCCAGACAACGACAGAAGGCGTATCATGAATGGGATGGGGAGAAGACAGCGAAAGAAGCACCGGCAAAGAACTGATGACCTCAAGAACAGCTAAATCCAAGATCCGAGAGGACTAGGCGCTCTTGTGCCTACATCCAGCATATGATTACGTTCATTGTGCTGATGAGCCACTTCCAGGCTTCGATGCCGCAGAGTAGCCTAGAGGGGCACCAGCTTAGAAAGGATTGGCAACGAGACGGGATGAGAGCCGTTCCGAGGAGCCCGACTGGGTGTGGTGACCCAAGGCTTCAATCTCATAGCCACAATTTTTTTTGGCCGGCGGGAGGAGAATTTATGAGACCAGAGTCACGAAACCATCTTGATCGACTCGTCACATCATGATATACCCATCTATATCATTGTGGGAACATGCTTGCGTGGGCCAAGTTGACAGATACTCACAATGTAGGAAGAGGTTATAATATCGGTTTCTGATCATGATCAGCGCATCCTACCGACGATTTAGCTTCTGTTTGCCATTTCCCAGACGATCAGGCAGTAAATACTTAGGCATATAGATCATATTGCTCCTTCGTGGCAGATAGAATATTGACTGTTGAGAGGTGTTGGTCGTGTTGTTAAACTTCCGGAATCGCAGCCGCGGCGGTCGCTTGCCAGCAGCATCCACTTTCGGCCTCTCGACAATATCATCCTCGCATTGTTCGCTTCCCTACACATCCAACTCCCTGGCTACAAGTCATAAGCAATCTAGTCCTTCGGCGCTGCTTCATCCGCAATCACCTCCGCGCCATGGCTGCTGTTCCAACGGCCCTTACAAACTACCCGCCTTCACATACCGGCTCCCCTTCACGACATCTTCCCCAATACTCTGGCTCATCCAGCATCGCCGGGACTCCTCTCCCAGACCGTACATCTGGCACTCCCACTAGCATTACTTCGATCTCAACCCTACGTTACCCTTCAACCCGCAAAACCATTTACGACCGCAACCTCAACCGCTCTCGGAATGCCGAACTGTCGAGAGCCAGTTTCGCCTACCTGTTCATGGAAATGGTCGCGTACGCGCATAAGAGGGTGAAGGGGATACAGGATTTTGAGAAGAGACTGAACGAGCAGGGCTATCCGTTGGGGTTGAAGCTACTGGATCTGCTACTCTATCGAACGTCGCCAATAGGGGGGTCGAGTTCATCAAGTGGAGGGTCGTCGAGTAGCGGCTCTGGGTCAGGTGCAAGTCGACCGCTACGGCTACTCCCTCTCTTGACACTGTTGACAACAAAGCTCTATCCACTACTATTCTCCCGTCCCGCCGACTCCCTCGAGCAATCCACAACCAATCCCGGGGAATATATGATTATAGACAACACGCCCCTCACCAACCAATACATCTCGGTTCCCAAGGAGATGTCCCAGTTGAGTGTGGCAGCGTACATTGCGGGAATCATCGAGGGGGTATGTGACGGTGCAGGATTTTCTTGCAAGGCAAGTGCGCATAACACCGGGACGGAGGTCTGGCCGAACCGGACGGTGTTTCTGATCAAGTTTGACGAAAGCGTGCTGGAACGGGAGAGGGAGTTGGAGAGGCAGGGTGTTAAGTGAGAGGGGACATCCAGGCACGGGATTGCCGCAATACTTTACGGGCACCAATGCTACCAAAGAAGAAATGTGACGCATGAATAAGGATGAGAAGTGACCAGATGGATGGACCGAAGACGGAAGAAAATGCTCAAAGAGAATTGCGGGATGGGCTCCAGATTGTTGCCTATCACTTTCTGCAATCGATGATTAAGCTAACAGCCCCAGCCCAAGGCACACGGTGTCGTAAACCCAAAGCTGTTGTCTTCGAAGCTGTTAAACAGGCTGACGATGCCGGATCCAACTGATATCGCTGCCAGAAGCCGCTAGTCTACAGCAGACTCTACCAGCTCTATACCCAGCACTTCAATATCATGGTCCATTTCTAACCATTCCATTTCGAGCGTCGTCAAATTCGACGTTCTTCCCGATCCTCACAACAACTTCTATCCGCTGGGCCACGGCTCAAGTTCAGTTATTCTACCAGTTTGCACTGAGCCAGCGCGAGCCACTCTGGTGGAGAATGGCCAAATGGGGCATTCAATCCCGAATATATCTATGCACCCGGAATCTCCTTCCTTCCTACTTGCGACTGCCCTGGGGCTGTGGAGGAGGAGTCTGAGGTCGAATGGGATCGAGTTTGGAAATGCCTGTCAAAGATCTGTCAGTATGCACCCACCATTGCGGAACTAGATCTGGAGGAAGCAGGATAGGGGATTTTATACCGTGACATGCACCAACATCAGCCGGGGGAATCAACGGCCTTGGACCTGCGCGGAGGCAGAGGACAGCATGGGCTCGGTCATGCAGCGGTAATGGCGGTGTCGGCGGTCTTGGAGACGCATTCGCTTGGAGCGCGGCACACGCCTGGTCTAGGTCGCCCGGTGGCGTAGTCAACGCCCTTGAGTTGACGACCGTGGAATAGGCTCCTACAGTTCAAATTCCAACAATGAGCCTCCCTCTATCTTCTCGTGAACCACAGGAAAAGAGTGATGCAGAATTCGAGCAAGTTTTACCTGAAACCACCATTTTTGATTCCACTTTCCCCCGGAGTGGTTCAAAAAGCTTCAGAGTTTTGATATAAATTGTCTCAACTCGCTGCGGATTCTGTGGACTTTCGGGGACCTGTCCCCTTGTTCTTTTCTTTTTTGGTCGGTCGGTCGTGTGGTCCTCACGTTAGGACGATACTAAAAGGAGGATAGCGAGGAAGGGAAGGAGAGGGAATGGAAGAAAAGCAGAACTAAGCAGGGCCAAGAGACGGAAGGGACAGGAGGAAGCGATCTTTTATATATCGCGGAGGTGATGGAGATGGAGATGGAGATGTGGCAAACGGGGCTTGTTCGTTTGCTGCGTCACAGCGTGTCAATACCCCTAGCCCAGCGCCGGCAGTTGACTGGGATCCTGTGAGACGAAGTAAGATGAGATGAGTGAGGGAGAGAAAGTACGTGAGAGAGGGAGAGGGAGAGTCAGGCTATGACGAGGTTTAGTGATAAAGCACTGGTTTGCCGGGCGAACTACAGTCGCTGGGTCATGCAAGTAGACAAGCAGACGGGCAGATGGACACACAGACAATCAATCAATCAACCAGCTCTTGTCATTCGCCGCGTCCGTTCAATCGGCGCACACATATATACAGAGTGGGTGCTATCGAGGATAATAGTACTTGGGATGGCTGTGATCGCTCGCATGTGGACACTCAAAGGGCGGAGGAATGGAAGTTGTGCAGGATTAATCTTTGAGATCGCGTTCGTCGTCAAGACATTCGGGAGCTTGTGACCAGATTGCTCCTCTCTTCTCCTCTCTGCTCTTGCAGCAAGTCAAGCCGCTCATGGACGATCCCTTGCACTCCTCGAGCATCAACGAGCCAAAAACGGGCGACGATGCATCCATCTGTCATCGTGCCGCCACGCGCCTTCTCAGGCTCTCGCAGGATGTTTGCGTCTGTAGTACTCGCGATCTCGTGAGTCTCGCTCGTACGAATGCTCTTTCTTCCTTCGTCGAGGAGAACGCGAGCGGGAGCGGGAGCGCGATCTGGACCGAGAATATGATCGCTTCCGCCAGTCTCTGTCCCGGTCTCTGTCGCCTTGACGATCACGTTGTCTGTCTCGAGGCCGATAGCTGTCTCCGTCTTTGTTCCCATCTCCCTCCCTATCTCGGTCGCGTCGCTGAGCAACAACGCTTGCATTCGCACCCGTCGGACCGGTCCGTCCACCTCCGCGGTCATCATCGGGTAAGAAGCGCTCGTCCAAACCTCTGTTGTCAAAGTCTCCTGTCCTCGCTCCGAGCCCTCCGCCGCCACTGCCTTTCCATCTCTTGACCTCCTCTCCAAACCTGCCCGTATCCTCTCCCTTCAGGTCCGTGTATCTCGTCCTCCCCTTCTTCCCCAGCTTTGTCATGTCTCTCAGTCGCATGTACTCGGGTAAAGTAGACTTATCGGCGACCTGATCCTCGAATCTTGCCCCCATCACATCTCTCCTCTTCAGCAACTCCGCGGTCTCGTCGCCTTGGAAAAATGCGCCTTTGTGATGATATCGTGCCAGAAATGCTGTTTCAGAACGGCCTTCCTCGCGCTCCTGTTTCTGTTTTTCGAGATATGCCTTATCTTCTTTCTCCCGTTCCTGCGCCGTCAAATTGCGCCGCCGTTCGATTTCTTCGATCTCCTTTTCCCGTGCGATCAGTGCTTCGCGATCTCGCTTCAGGCGCTTTAGCTCTCGAAGCTTCCAAGCCGCGTATTCAGCTTCCGGATCGAGACCGTCAGTATCGTCCACCATGGATTCGGGCACTAGCTCGTCATCGTCATCCCATGCCTTTTTACCTTGGGCGCGGGCTAGAGCATCGCGTTCCAGCTTGTCTTTGATCAAAAGCTCGGCTTGGGCGAGACGGCGAGTTTGAGTGTCCACTTCCGGATCTGGTATTGCGACATTCGTAGCCGGTTCAGGATGGCCATCGGAGGCTTGAGTGGGAGGTTTTCGATCATACTTCTTGATGAATGTCGGGCGCTGGAATTTTCGCCGGGGCACTTCTTCTTCGGACGAAGTCTCTTCTTCTTCTTCTTCTTCATCAGACTCCTCTTCTGATTCCTCCTCTTCCTCGGATTCTTCTCCTGTGTACTCCTGCTTTACCGGGAGTTGCCTGGCCGGAGGGACTATACCCGTAACTGGCCGTTTTGGTGCTCCCGTCGTGCCAACTTTGGCACCCTCTTCCTCGTCCGTAACAAAACCTTCCTCGTCTTCCTCCTCACTTTCCTCTTTTCTAGATGGTTGGGGCTTCACTGGCTGTGGTCTGGTGGTTTGTGGCTTCTTCTGGGGCGGTGGTCGCTGCTGTTCCTCCTCTGATTCTTCATCCTCGTCAGACGATTCTTGTTCCGCAACTGGTTTGCCAGGACGATACCTTGCAACGGGTCTCGCAGGGTTTGCAGTCATCCGCTTTGCGGGGTTAGGTATGGGTGGCGGCATTTTGAGGGCGGTGTTTTGGATGTCCGGGTAGATTGGGACATGCAGTGATTCAGCAGGCCCCTGAGACTGAAAAGGGTCGCTATCAAACCGGAGACCTGCTCTGCGACATAAAACATAGATACTCTCACCAAGAACGCATGCTTGCACATGTTGCCTGACGTCGCGGTACGGTGGAGCACAGAGTTTTCTTCAGCTACGTCAGAGTAAAGGAGCCAGAGTGCCATTCTGGCAGCAGATACAAAGCAGAGCTCTTTCACTTCTCTCTAATTTCACTCTCACTCTCTATGTGTGAACTATCACGACCCAGGTCTACCTGCGAACGGATGCATGAGGGTAGGAGTTTGTGCTCAGAGTGTCTGTTAGCAGAACACCTCCTGCTTTTCAAGAACAAATAGCCAAGATTTGCGTTGAGAGTTAGTCACCTCTGTGAGGAGTGAATGATGGGTCATGAGGTTGTCCAAGCCTGTTGTTGGTCTGATAAAAGTTCTTGTGAAGCATGGGAGGAATAGGTGAATCAAATTTGACCACATGCTGCCGGATAGGACTGTCATGCTCCTTCCCTTCTGTCAAGGGGTCAGTTCCTGCCATTCCCCTGCTCGTCTGATGCTCTTGAGTTTGCTGTCACTCAATTTCCTTCCCCTGGGTTTCCCCATGTTTGTTACTCGGTATGCCCTGAAAGCTCCTTTCCTCCCATCTGAACAAGATCAGAACTTCAATCCTTCCTAAACTGGCACAGCTTACCAAAACAATGCCTGACGGAATTGAATCCCCAACATCTGCCGAGATGGCGTCCTTCCGGTCCCGCGTCGTTGGCACCTGGGGCCTGGTGTCGTACGTCGCCATCAACCTTGACAACACGGATGACATCGTCTACCCCATGGGCAAGGAGTGCAAAGGCCAGATCATGTACAGCAACGATGGTTACATGGCAGCTTTGCTCCAAGAGGCGGATCTCAAATCATTCGACCGTGACTGGAAAGAGGGCACTACACAAGAGCTAGCCAATGCAGCAAAGAAGACCATCGCGTACTGCGGGCCATTCTACCTCGACGAAGAAGACGGAAAGCCACAAAAGATCGTCCACCACGCTCAAATCAGCGTCCAACCCAACTGGATCAACACCCTCCAGATCCGATGTGCAGATCTGTTTGAGGAAGACGGCCAGGACTACATCATCTTAGGACCAGAATGTCCGACTGAGTGGGAGGGAGTCAAGCGACTTCTTCGGCTGACATGGCGGAAACTCTCTCAGAACGATGCGGCTGAACCCCCAGCAGACGCCAAGGCGCTCAACATTTGAGACGTGATGGAGGTGGAAAGTATGGCACAATCCACAGCAAGGTCATCAAATGGCGCTGTCGATACAATCGTTCTAACCATCAGAACAAACAACTCTATGGAGCTGTGAACGGCCTTGTATCGTTATTTTGGCTGCCGAAGGTGAATCGGCGTGGTGCATACACGATTTGAAAGAGTAGGAGCCACAAACGAGATAGTATTCCGTAACAGAAAATGGAACTCCTCTCAACCTGTGATTAGGGGCCGATATGCGCCCTGAATGTTCTTTCCTCTATTGCTAGTTTTGGAGCGGCTGTAATGAAGGCAAGGGGATATATTATACTCCGTACCTTTTGATTATTGTCCGAAAAGCTAGAAGCGGTATGGCTAGTCGTGGCTTGATCAGGCTGACCGGCAACAGGGGCTTCCGATCCAGCTTGACCGATTTTCCCAACCCATCTGGAATTTATTATCTCCGTCCAGAATGTGAGCCTACCGTATCACAGGACCCAACTGATCTGTTCTTCCGGATCCTGTTCCCCGTCCACGGCGTTCTAGCATGGCTGCTGAGGTTGCGAGCACTCTTGTGATGCCCAATGGGCTAACTGACCCTGAAAAAGCGGCCGCAGATCTCGCGCCCAGCATTGATCAAGTGAAGCTAGAGGATGAGACCGCCCAGACCACAGAACCGCCTCCAAATGATGCCCAAGCAGCCCACGAGGCTGCAGTTGCAACGAATGCCAGCGCGGGAGACACGCAACCTGAGGCTGGAGCCACGCCCGCCCCGCCCGTCCCAAAGATACCGAACCTGCCACGTACCGCTGGCGACGGCCTGATCAAGACACCGCTCGCCGAACCTCTGGAGACTTCACAGCCTTCCACTAAACCGGCGTTGACGACGGAACAAGAGACTAAATATGCAAGTCTCCTCGAGAACGTGTCCACATGGACCGAGATCCCAGAGACCTCTGCGAGAGGATCAAAGACCACACCCCTGACCGATTCAGAGCGCATGTTCCTTACTCGGGAATGTCTACTCCGCTATTTGAGGGCTACAAATTGGAACGTGGCGCAATCGGAAACAAGACTGAGGAATACCTTGGTCTGGCGACGCGAGTATGGGTTGGAGAAGCATACAAAAGAGTACATCTCGATTGAAAATGCGACGGGCAAGCAGGTGATCTTGGGGTGGGATATTCAGGGGCGGACATGCCAATACCTGCGACCATCCAAACAGAACACCGAGCGGAGTGATCGGCAGATTCAGCACTTGGTGTTCATGCTGGAACGGGCAATCGATCTGATGCCACCAGGGCAAGAGACCCTCGCGCTGCTCATCAACTTTGCAGAGACCAAGTCTGGACAAGGCGCAACGCTATCGCAGGGCAAGCAGACGTTGAACATCCTTCAGAATCACTATCCGGAGAGGCTGGGTCGCGCCCTCGTCACCAATGTGCCATTCTACATCTGGGGCTTCTTCAAGCTGGTCACGCCGTTCATTGACCCCTTGACAAGAGAGAAGATCAAGTTCAATGAAGATATGGGACTACATGTGCCGCGGGAACAGCTGCTCAAGGAAAGTGGAGGGCTTGTCGAGTTCGAGTATGATCACGAGGTGTATTGGCCGGCTCTCAATGACTTGTGCGAATCGAAGAGGAGCGAGTTCCGGAGTCGCTGGGAGGAAGGCGGCAGGCGAATCGGTGAATATGAGGCATACTTGAAGGGAGCGGGCGAGAAATCGTTGGCTGAATGGGAGAAGGAGGCAGAGCAATCGTCTGGGTAAGGGAGGACGAGGATCTTGCTAATATTGATTGACCGCATGGATACACCTGCGGTTTCTTAGACTGCCTTGAATAGAACAGGGACAGGAGTTTTGATGATAGGAACAGGTATATTGTCTTGTGACTGCTGCAAGAAATAGGTACAGTAGGTGGGAGCTTGGTGCAGGCGGCGCGGTGGAATCACATGCTAATTTTGGAGGCTCCGGAGACGCATTTGGAGGTTTAGTCAGTAACACTTCACTTTTTGCCCCTCCATTTCGACTCCCCTCCCGCCTCGTCCGGACCATCGCTCTGGTTGGTAGCCCTGAATCGTGTGCCAAAAGACGGGAAGACGGGATATGGCGTGCATCTCGCACGCCTCGTGTCTTTTTGCACACACACACACACACACACTGGTTCTTGTCGGTGGTTAATCCGAGGAATCAGGAGTCAGGATCACCGATTCATCCATCTACCCTTGTCTGGCCTCGTGTAACGACGCCAGCAAATTATCTTTTTCAGCTCATTATCTCATTATCTCATTGTCTCTGTCACTGTCCCTTCCTGCGGCATCCTGTTGTGTGACAAGCCCACCATTTTCTCCACTCTTCCTCATCCTTCGTTCACTGCACTCGACACCGCACATCATCGCACATCACAGGCGAGACGCAGAGTTTGCAACATTCAAACAAAGGCAAAAAGATGCGGTTTGACAGGTCGCGATGGCAGATGATACAGAGGTGACCCAGCCGCCTTCGCACGCGCGCACTACCCCGCCAAATGGCCAGCCGACTGGCCCTTACCACCACCAACACCATCATTATCATCACCACCACCTCCCGCGTTCTCACAATAGAGCCCCTTCTCCTCCTCCTCCTCCTCCTCCTCCTCCTCCTCCTCCT